CCTTTGTATACATTACACAGACTCAATTCTTGGATATACTGTAGATATATAAGCTCTACTATTATTACAGTATTAAGAGTTTAGAGTATCAGAAATCTTAGTCAGAGGAAACTGTTGTATTTTTTATTATCAAATAGTACACAAATACACAAGTAATTGATACATTTAACATTGTATTTGTGTTATGAATGAGTTCCAACTAAATTTACATTAATTTTAAAGGAATAATGAAGAAATTTGGTTAAGAATTGAGTAAGATACAGAGGAAAGTGTGTGCTCACTGTATGAGACAGTGAGCTCAAGGTGTAGCAGGTGGGGAGGGCACAGTTGCCATATAGGGCACTCAGCATACTTATTTTATTTTATTTTATTTTCACTTAGAATTTTTTTTACTATTTAAGTCTAGTATTAAGTACAGTTAGGGAGAAAAGCTCAAAAGGTACCTAATTAGAGGGACTACAAGGGTCTTGTACGCTCTCTAATTAGGCCCCTTACAGTATGTCCCTCAGGTGATCTTCCCGGCAACTACCATTTACTTCACCCATTCTTATCTTGCCGACCTTATTGGTTGTTTCCCCGCTAGCCAATGAATTTGGTTCAGTTAGGTTGGGAAACCGGTTTTTGTCTTCTCGTCTTCCGAGTCTGTACCAGCGTTAAGTGCGAAATACAGAATCACGACTGCTCCATGGAGAAGAGAAGCAGGCTAGGACCACGTAACTGTCTGGAAGTGGTGCTACTGTTCTGCTGTCCGTAAGCTTACAGTTCTTTGGTCGTTCCAGCTTCTTACATTGTATTCCCATTGCTGACGGAATAAAGGTTCTAATCACTCTTTGTTACCCTACAATTAAGTTGGTCCACTCCTCAAAGCTCCTCGTCAAGTTCGCCATCTCTTCGCTGGTCATATATTCACCTCCACTCATAAAATGGCATGTGATTCGTCCGTTGTACTCCCACAGGAGGTTCATAATTGGCGGCGTGCGGACGCGTATTCCGCATACGACGTCGTTGACAATTATTGTTTGCTTCTGTGCCCTGTCGGACGCGCCTTCTGCTTGCTGTCGCATATATTGACATTGTAACGAAGATGGGGCAAAGGAGGTTAGAAGACCGAGACGTGCCAAGTCACCGATGGAAGAAACGATGAGCAAAGGAAGATCGAAAATCTTTGGTGTGAAACTACTGAACCCGTGATGCAGCGCTAGTTCACGGGAGGCGTATCCATCGAGCGACTGCTATACGAACTCTTCAACACCGGGAATAGAAATTTGATGAGAAAGTACACACGTCTATTTCCTTCCATGCGGCCGCAACATCCGGTACGAGTTCTTCCCAAAATGCGTTGTCGTTGATCACGCGAGAAACTGAGAAGGTTTCTTCGTCGACCTTGATACAACTCTTTATTCCTCTCATCGGGAACATCACTGTGACACAGTCTGCTGAACAGAGCGGTGCACTCTTAGTCGACTGGTACGAATCGTATCCTCCTGGTAGTTTATTCCTCATTATCTATATGTGAGCCTCATTTCTTAGTTACGAAAGGAGAATATTCACCTGGTTGATAAAGTTCCATGGGATGGGATAATCCGTCGCATTCCTAAACGCTCCAAAAACTTCATCAAATCTCTCAAACCCGTGTTTAGCTGCGTAAGCTAATGCTGTCTCAACATGTGCAAGAACATTCAATGCTGTTATGACTTGCGTGATTGTCCTTCCTTTCTTCTGACAGAGCGCATGGAGTTTTGTTGTGGTTTCCTGTGAAAATTGGACGAGGCGAGTTACGTCGCCTGTTTCGCTTGTTGGACGAGGCATGAACGTCCAAGGAATCTTTTTTTTAAAAGGTAAGACCGCTTCTAATCGGTGAGGATGAAGAAGCTTACTATAGGCGAAGGTCCCGAACCTCCGTCCTTCTGGGCATTAGAATCATAAGAAGAAATGTCAGGAGGGGTTCCACTCTCTACGACAGTTTTGACAAACGCTCCAGGTGGCGGAAGCTTAACGACCTCGTATCCCCAATCGAAAATGGGGCTAGGACTCGACTCGTTATCCAACTCTTGCTTTAGAAACTCAAGGAACAACTCGAGCATCGCGAAGGCATTTCGTCCGTCTATGCTATTATGTGAGAAAACTAAGCTAGTTCTCATGTCAGTTTATCTGTCCAACAGATCCGTTAGTGCACGAGATGCTCACCTAATATGCCAGTCATCACCCAATGGCGACACATGCACCTCAGCAGCGTATCGATCGTCCGAACATCTCCACCATCGACCGTTCTTGAGCTCGCAGTGTTTTTCATATAACGACCCCCCCCCCCTTGTTCGTTTCCGAAGCGAAGAAGACAGTTTCATCTAACTAAATCTTTACATTTTCCCTCGTCCGAGGAACAGTGTATCGAAATGCGAAGTGTTTATCCCCTTCTGCATGCCTGAAGACCTTGCATGCTATGGCAGGCGTGAGGTGCCGGAACGCGGTCCATGCTGCACGTACGCGCTCTTCCAACCTTAATGCCTCATGACCAAAGGGAATGTGGAAGGCAACCGATGCAGATACAGTAAGATGTGCAAAGCCATCACAACACTCCCTAATCCAACATTCACGTCAATTATCAAAGTAGACAGCGAACGTCGTGTCAACACTGACTCCATGTTACTAACAAACCCTTCCAATCCATAGCATTTTTGCTCGAAGACACCCTTGCTGACTTCCTGGAAGATGTACTCGCTTGCATCAGAGCAGGCTATTATTTCTCCCATTATTCCTCAGACCCAAGTCTAGATATAGAAGTCGGGAGGGGGGAATAGGAAGCACGGGATCCTTCCGCCTTTTATAACTGCGTCGAAACTTCAATGCGAAAATAGTTTTCCCTTTGTTTTTCCTTCATGCTATTTAGGAGGTACGAAACAGTAAGCACAGTCTTTCCCTTTCACCGGGGCTGCGGAGCTAGTTGGATTGGTTGTTAGGGAAAGTTTTCAAGGAGCAGGGGTTGTATAGCCTTGCATAGTCTTTCTTGTGAAAAGCCCTTTCCTGATTCAGACTCTGTTTCCTCAAGATCCGGATCATGTATACATGAGATACTCGCAAGTGAATGGATCGAGACAACTGAGGTAACGGGATCCCATACATAGAACGGAGTGGTGCAATGGGTGACTTCCTGTAGACTTTTGGAAGGATTTCCAGGTTAAAAAGGTACTAGAAAAGGAGTAGTCTGAATATAAGCGAAGGGTAGTAAGAGTAAGCGATATGAGAACCGAATAACACACGTAGTTTGTTGTCTTCCAGTCTGAAAATCTGTAAGGGGTGTCTGACCCCCCCTTTCAGAGTAGAAAGTCGTTCCATCCATCAAGTACCTGCCTTACTGTCGTTTTCATAAATATTGTCACACGCGCGATTCGTGATTTTCGTCACACTAAGTACACTCAAATACAAAATCTACTTTAACTCAACTAATACTTAACCAAATTACATGATCTAAGCTGTAAAAATTATACTTTTGAAGTATCTTTCATATTCCAGAAAAAATAATTAAAATGATCAAAAATTGAGTAAGATACAACACAATATGT